AGACTTGGATGTTCTAGCACCTGCTTCTTCTGTGAGTTCATCATTGTTTGGGTCAGATCGTTGGGGTGGGTGTTTGGAGTGGGTGGCATGAAGTACCCACGCACCTGCCTGCTGCCTTGGTTCGCAAAAGCGAATCCCAGCTTGTTATAGGTCAAAATTCTGGCAGTGCATGAGGCACTGCTGCACAGTGTGCACCCATGTCCCCATATGAAGCTATGAATTAGTTCAGGGGTATGTTAATAGTTTTAAATCATGCAGTTGTTTTACATGAGTGAGAATTAAAGAGTGGTGAGGAACCTTTGTTTTGGATTTACTGTTATTTCAACATTTTGAATGTTTTACCTCATTCATATTGCTGTGTTGGCTATTGCTTGCTACCTTGCCTAGTGATTAGGTTGTCATCATGCTGACATATTGTTGCTGATGTACATCAGCATAAAGACCATTATCGATTGTGAGAGGGATTCTTGAAAACAGCACACTGTCCATCTGGATTTCTTTTTAGGAGTGGTTCCAGGTTGCATGGACTTGATATCAGTAGCATGAATATTACTCTTGATTTTCAAACAGGAAGGAATCAAAGTTCTTAAACATTTACTCCATGTCCTGTGTTGGGCGTCTGAACACTATCACTCCTAAGATCATGTACTTTTCTCATTTATTACCTTTTAACTTTAAATGAAGGTTTCATTGTGGATGACATTTGCTTTATTGTCCCATGGTTGTTAATTTTCCTATAAATAGTAGTTCAATCTTAAAAGAACTGAATAAACCAGTTTTCCTACAGTTGAGAACTAAATTTGCATATTTCAGATATGGTTAAATCTTCATGATTTGTGGTATTATAGATACTACTCAGATACGTGGGTTTTTTTGGCATAGATTTTCTAGGTACATTGTTCCTGTTGACATATATTGAGTTTTTACTGAAGTTGGTAATAACAATCATTTTTATAAAGCAAGAGTTATTTTAGATTACAGTCCAAACGTTGACATGAGGATTTCTACAAATTTACGGTGTTAGATAGATGTAAACTTAAAACCCAAGCTGCCTATTGAGAAGTAAGTTTCTCAGTACTCCTTACTCTTGGGTAAATTAATCAGTAATTTGCATAGTGTCAAGCTGGAGAGGAACAGGTTGGACAGGGCCTGCTAGGCTTGCTTTTAAATCCTAACCGTTCAGACACTGGAATGCTGTTAACATTCTCACCTAGTGGCTTTTCCAGGCTTCTTACCGCAGTTAATATGTCACCACAGCAGAGGACATTTCTGATTTAATCAATACTACACCATTTTTCCACTGTCTGTGTAGAGAAGCTCCCTTTCACATTTACACAAAGGACATGCATGCACATGTATTTTCTTTATACTAGCTCTGCAATTAATTTTGTGAAGCATCTTTTAGTTTTGAGAATTCTAACACATGCGTGAATGAAACAATGCAAAAAGCACAAGATTTAAAAAGAAATGTATTAGATTTGTCATTACGTTAAATTCATTAGGATTGATTTTATGGTCCTTTTAGCATATAGAGTTTGCCTCATGGAATAGCTGCAGAATAAAATCTGAGAGCTGGAAATACCTCTAGCTCCTATTCGGAATACTCCATGATCTTTGTTTCTACCTGTTTATCAGGTTAATGAAAAGTTCATTTGTACAGGGATATTACCCAGTGTCTAATAGCTGTTGGTCTTGGACTGCACGCTTAAGAATTGCATGCATTTTTCCATAGCACAATTCTTAAAGTAAAACTAATATATTGCAATGAAATGTCACATACTGTTAAAATTTCTTAATAAAAGAAATTCCATGTTTCTATAATTTATTTCCAGCTATGTTCTCAATAAAACACTTAATACATACCAAATAAGTACATAATTGTTCTTAAGATTATCTCATTGTATTCAGACTCAGCTTCTCATATCTAAAACTCGCAGTCCCTGTAATTAAGACTGACTCCACCTTGAACGTGCTTGTTCAAGGTTCTACTCCTGAGTAGTCCCGTTGAAGCCATAACTACTATTTCTGGTTTTAAAGTTGAGTATTTGCGAGATCGAAATCTGTGCAGCTGGATACCTTTCTGGTTTATAACATGTTTTCTTTAAACTCCTAGTCTGATTTTTCATTTAGTAGCATGACGTTGTGTCACTCAGCTGACATGGAAATTGGAGAAATATCTATGGAGCCACAGTATTAGTGTGTTTCTGCATTTCACTGTGGAAGGTGAAGGTGGGATATAACGGCAGCAATAGTCAAGATAGAGCAGCATAGCTGTGTTGCTTCCAGCACTGTGCTAGTGTTTGCTTAGGACTAGATTGATACCGTTACACGCACCTACACTGGAGTGGATTGTTCAGTAACTCATATAACTTTCAAAGAAGTTTTGTGTAGTATGTTTATTACCTCTTTTAGAAAACAAGTCTATCTTTCCCGTTTAAAACTAATCAGATTATTTGTCCTGATTTCTAACGGAATCAGATCTATATAGTACTAGGGGAACGTGTACGTGTCCAAGTAACTTTAGTGTGGTTAATTTCAGTCAAGTTTGACTGAGGTATACAAGTGTCAAAAATAAGTTTCCACTGGTTTTGTGAGGCTAAGGAGCTGTGGAAAGGAAACAAACTCCATCTGTGACTTGAACGTGGAAAAAGCTGTGGCATAAATGCATGTATTAATAGACACCAGATAATCTATGCAGACCAGAACACTGCCTTATAAATGTATATAGTACAGTGGGAACAGCTTTAATTTGGACAACCAAACACCTCACATCTGATCAGAACGACATTGGGGCTGATTAGTCCCAGTGCTCACTGGATTATCTGTTAGTGCCTTCTGCTGCTTTTGTCCTTGTTACCATGACTTCACAAACATCTTCATCACAACATAATCTGGTCTCTTCCATTTGAATCAGAATGGCATTCTTCTGTTTTTCAAAGAAGTAGTTTTACATAAATTATATGCCAATGAGTTGAGTGTATGGCAAATAAGGCCATAAATGAAAATAGTATTTCTGCAGATTTCACTACTTTTTCTGATTTGCTATCTTAGGTTTGTTTTACTACAGGTTGAAGAAATAGTACTCTAGACACCTTGTTTGAAATAAAAGATGAAGATGTATCCTTAAATATTGCTTTTGAATATACCAGACAACACCAGGAAATAATTTCTTCTTGCATTCTCTCTTCGTCTTTGCTCACACTGATAGGGAAGATGAATGTCTATCTCTTTTTTTCACTGTTTGTTTCCTGTCTTTTTTCTTTCTGGTGTATCCATTATCAGAGAGACAATTGTGTACATTGAGACGGAGGCAGGCTTCAGAACTTCTATCTGACAGAATAGGCAAGTCAGGTTTTTCGGAACTAATTATGACAATTTAGGAAACTGTGGAAGTACACAATACAGGGAGAGATGAACTAAATTATAAGTTGCCACACAGTCTTTTAGTTCTAAAATTTTCAAGGTGATGTAAAAAACTTCATTGTACAATGTTTTTGTTAAAATAAAGCATGAAAAGATGGTTTCTTGTTTCCTTCCTCTGCAGCAGCTGATCAGCTCATTAATACTCAGATCATACAAATAGTAATGTCAGCATGAGTAAAATACTGAGCTTTGAGCTTATATTTTGACAAGCACAGTGTAGGAAAGAACACGTTTTTTAGTTATCTTCTGTATAATACCCATCTATTCTTTCACTGGTCTGGGATCTCAGGCAATCCTTCCCTTCCGTGAGCGCTGCAATTAAAGGAGCCTAGTTTCCTTTGCATTTGTTTCTCTTTGTTGATTGATATTGATATACAAGGTGTGAACCTTTCCTTTCATGGAAGCAGTTTATACATTTTCTCCTTTATTCAGTCACCTGTTTTCAAGAAATGGTTGAATTTCTCAGTCCTTCGTTGCTTTGTTAGATCTAATGAAGAATGTTCAACAGATTCAAAAGTTTTTAAGGAAGAGTAGAAGCAATGACATATGGTCACCAGGCGTGCATACACAGATATGTGTATGCAGTGTGAGTGTGCTTAACTGCAAAGCCCTGGAAATTATATTTCGATGTTCCTTTTGTGGGTTACTGCTATATCCTACTGGATCCTTGATTAGATGTCCTTTAATATTATAATTTTCAACACGTGTCTTATGTTAACAGAAATTGTGAGAGGACTGTGAAACTTTTTTTTTCTTGTCTTTGTAGGAGAATACGTTTGTGTACAGCTGAGACAATGGAGTCCATGCTGAATAAATTGAAGAGTACCGTTACAAAGGTAACGGCTGATGTCACCAGTGCAGTCATGGGAAATCCCGTTACCAGGGAATTTGATGTTGGCCGACATATTGCCAGTGGTGGTAATGGTCTTGCTTGGAAGATATTTAATGGAACTAAAAAATCAACAAAACAGGTGGGTTGTCAAGTAAAGACCTAATTTTATAGCATTAGATATTAAACTGGTAGGTAGTAGCTGTTAAATGACATTTAAAACCAAAATCCAACTGGGCAAACTGATGCTAAGGGTAGTACTATAAGTAAAATGAAATGAACACCTAAATGTTACTTAAATATAATGTTGTCAGCTAGATAGGTGGTAGTTGCTTTAAACTTCACTGCTGTAGAAAGAAGTGGTTCTGCATTCATAACATGCAATTTGATACTAAGATCAAGAATTAATCTGAGTTAAAACTGATCTGACAAGAAGGAAGAAGTTTGTTTTAACATGGAGAGGTTCCCTAATTTGTTTTACCTTGCAACACTTCTTTTTTGGCAGCAGTACTGGCTTTTTATGTTTTAAAATATCATGAAGTATGCCATCATTTGTTCTCAGCAAAAGAGACACTAGTTTTTTTCTCAGCTACCATACAGTAGTTGAGAGGTTAGGAAAGTCATGAGATACAGTAACAGGAAGGCATGGGATAGAGGAGGTGGTTGTGGAGGAAGTGAGGTCCACCTTCCTGTGCTGTTTTCAGATGAGTTTTGTTCTCTTTTAGTTTCCTTAAAGCATTAGGGTTTAGAGCACTAGTATATAAACTTTTGACTCACTTGAAGTCACGTGTGTAAATGGAAGTAGGATTGTGACTTTGGAAGAAGGTTTGCCAGAAACAGAGTTTAAGAACTGCTATTATAGAACATCATTTTGTTGTACTGGAAAAATGCGAAATATCTTTTTTCAAACTTGGAAAGGAAATAGAATTTTCAATGAGTAAATAGAAGAGTCAATAAGTTACGGCCGTCAGTTAAACTCGATGCTAAAGTGATGTGAAGTCACTTAGACAAGGAATCAGCTTGCTACAGATGTACCAAAAAGAAATGGGCACAAAGGAATGGCTTTGGAAAACATATGTACAATCTGTTAGATGGTAGGAAAATAAACTGTAGCAAATAAAGAAGAAATACACTATCCAGAATAAATAATCTGTGGAGAATGTGTGATCTGATTGTGATAGAATCTGAATAATGCTAAGCATGTACTTTTGCCATATTCTCAAGCACCTGTCTAGCTGTTGCAGGACTCTATACATCTAGTATTTACTGAGTGTACCAAATGTACTAATTGGAGGTTTTGTTGGTCTTATTCAACCATACAAAGAAGTGATAACATTGAAAGTATGTAGTTTGATAGGTTTTATACAATCTTTGTGCCCAGTAAGCATTTGACCTGTAGCAGGTGTAGCTTTAAGGGTCTGGAGAGTTGTAGCAAGTTTCGTTCACTGCCCAATTGACAGAGTGTGTGTAACTTGTTTCCTGTTGATCATGTTTTTCAAGCTTTGAATGGGTGTTCTGACCACTGATTTTGCAGGATTTTAGTTCAGGTGTTACCACATGTGATCCTGCAGGATCTCTGTAAACCCTGATTACCATCTGTACATTTTTGTGCCTTCCTTAGTCATAAAAAACACAGCAGCAGTTGTACTGCAGGGAATTTTAGTTGGCTGGTGGTTTGATGTGCAATTACTGTTTATTATTAATATTACCAATTAGGTAACATCATGTCAACATTCATTTTGCCTTTGCAAAATGAAACTATGCAGCAATACAAACAATTTACGTTGTGTTGTATTGCAATATATCTATTCTTTAACATTTTTTATTTCTTTTGCATGTACCTTTTGAATGTTGGCTGGGTAATATGGGAAGTGGCTGACTGTAATTTTCCAAGTGGTAGCAGTCACTTTTATGAAGTGATGCACATATTTGCTGTATTGCAGGTGTGCATATCTAAGTTGAAGCTACAAGCACTTAGCTTTTTTACAATAAATGTGTATTGTGATGTAAGGCCTTAATTGCCCATGTTGTTGTCACCTTACTACAACACAAGTGATAATTTAAATCATCGTAGCCAGATGAAATAGCTAAATTTGGAGTTTTAGTGCTACGGCAATAGAGCGGATCAGAAATCTTTGTTCTCAGGACAAATGCAAGTGAGCAGTCTTACAAAAGTTGGTCAGCTGAAGTGAAGATTTCAAACATGGATTAATTTGGTTCCTATTTTTAAGTCAGTGGACAGTTACAAATATTCCGTCTCTGGTAACAGTAGATATGTATGATTTTATTCCTCTTTTCAGTTCCACCTGGTTCCCATCTTGGTGGTTTTACTGGATTTCTGAATGTTTACTTTTTTCTTTTTTTTAATGTATCTTGTCTTTTCTTGTTTACTTTGTAGGTGACTGAATAACAGCCTAACAGAATGTGAGGAAATTGCTTACCTGTGTGCATGTTTTTGTCTGGGGCTATTTGACAGCTGATTTGCTGCTGTTTGTTTGAAAGATTTATGAGTCTTTCTAGTTATACATGTATACATGAAGTAACATATTGCTAATTTTACAGTATGTAGTTCTGCTCGTTTTGGATTTGTTAATTTAGTATTTATGCACTTACATGTATTTCTGGCATAATATGGCACTTGTCCTTTTTGCTGCTTAGAAAGTTCAATCATAAAGACATACATAGGATAAGGTCACTTAATGTTCCTGTTGGCAGCTCGGTCATAAAACCTAGCAGAATTCAGGAGATAGTGGTTTGCAGTTCAAGACTACTGTAGCTGTGTTTAACTTTTATTGTGGTAGTACTAAATATATTAATGGTAGGTAAGTCAGCTTTCTGTTGTTTTGGCTGTGCATACAGTAGCTGTGAAATGAAAGCTTCCTACTATTCAAACTTTAAAGGCTAACTCATTTTAAAACTGGAATAGTTGTATTGTATACCTTATAACTGAAACAAACTGATGGGAAAGTAGAGTTGTAAAAAAACATTGGCAAACTTCTAAAAATAAAACTCGCAAAAGCCAAAAGCTGGAGGAAAATCTTTTTCTGGCAAAAGACCAGAGTAATACTGGAATGCTTTCCAGTATTTTAGTTCAGAGACTATTTTGCTTTGCACAGTGGGAGGCTTTGGTAAAACATCATGTGTTTGCATATTGAGTTACATCTGATTAATTGTTAAAAAAATAAATGAGTGCATATGGGTAAAATAGAGAACAAAAGTGAAACAGAAACCAAACATGAAGTTTCTAAAATCAAGCATGTAACTGCTACCCTAAAATTTCCTTTGTGTTCATGACTTAGTCTTTTAACACGATCGCATTTATTTTTTTTTTTTCCACAAGAGCATTACATCATTCAGTTCACAGGATAGATGGTGAACTGTAGTTTTTAAGAAATTTGTGATTTATTTTTTTCTTCCTTACTGTTCTGTGCTTAGTCTCTGGCATTATTACTCCACACTATTCAAAATGCCATTGAAAATAGAAGGATTTGAGTTTCTATATCATTCACACTTTAGCGCTTGAATGTTTTACAGGTATTGTTAACATGCTTTCTCAGTATCCAGTGAGATAAATAGGAAGAGGTTTTGCTATTCCGTTATCATCACATTTCCACAGCTTTTAGAGTCTTTAATTTATAAATACTTTCTAGTTTTGTTTGCTCTTTTTTGATACACAAACCCAGTGTGTTTCTGAATTCTTGCTGCCTGCTTGGGGGCACGAGAGAAAGCATGACATGCCTTCATTGCCTGGTTACCTTTTTCTGGTTAGGGGCAGTGGACATCAGGAGCTAGAATGGAAGTAATGAGGCACAGTTTGCTAAGAAGCAGTAAGGATAGGTTTGCTATTCATATTTCTTTCCCTTAGTCATGGCCTTTGTTGGTGGACACTAGCAGTACTTCTTTTTCCTTGCATGAAAACAGAGTAGCACTTGCTTTTAATGTTGACTACCTGCTTGCTTAAGATCTGAGAATTGTTTCTCTCTCTTTCCCCCTTCTCCCCTTCTTTTTTTTTTTTCTCTCCCCTACCACTCCTTTTCTTTCCCCCCCCAGCAGTTGCATTGGCTAAGATAAGAGCAGGATTTTTGAAGTTTATTTGGTTTATGAAGTTTTGATGTGGCTGAATAAGGACACGTGTTTTAAACTGTCAGTATATGTTTCAAACTGGTGTGTGTTTCATAAGGAATGCAGGATTGCAAATGGACTTGGAGGATGTGGTGGGTTGACTCCAACCAGCAACCAAGCACCCACACAGTAACTCACTCACTTCCTCACCCGGAGCGGGATGCGGGCAGAAAATAGGAAGAAGAAAAGTGAGAAAACTCATCAGTCAAGATCCAAACAGTGTAATAGGTGAAAGAAGAGGGGAAAAAAACAGTGAAGCAAAGGAAATTACTTACCACATCCCACAGGCAGACTGATACTCAAGCTAGTCTCCAAACAGCTGCCACCTTGGAAGCCAAAAACCACCTTCTTCTTCTACCCTACTTTTTATCACTGAGCATGGTATTATATAGTATGGATTAGCCCTTTGGCCAGTTTGAGTTGTCTGTCTTGGCCATGTTCCATCCCACTCTCCTGTCTACCCACAGCCTACTCACCTGGAAGAGGTGAGGCAGAGTGGGAATAAGAGAAAGCCTTGACCATGTGCAAGGACTGTTCAGCAATAGCCAGAACATCGGTGTGTTATCAACACCGTTTTAGCCACAAATCTAAAACATGGCACCATATGGGATGCTATGAAGAAAGTTAATTCCGTCTCAGCCAGATCCAGTACAAAGGAAAACTGCCCGAAGAAGCTGGGAAAAGGGAATTGGGACATTTAGTGATTAAAACTGAAAGGATAAAAAGCCTTTATGAAGGAGTGTATTAGTGAATACCAGGTCTTTGGGACAATGGTCAACAGGATTCCCCTGAAATACACGAGCACAACCAGAGATGACTTATTTACTCTTTTCCGTTTGGTGACTAAAAGTGTTCTAGATGAGTTAATATGATTATAGCCCAGTTAAACTAAATCCCTGCCATGTCTTGCATGTTGTGGACAATGCTTACTCCTGTTTGCACAGGTGACATTTAATTCCTTGGCAAAGGCATTGTAGAACTTAAAACACTGATCTTTTCAGTGATTCATATGTAAAATTCTAAGTTATAGACATTCACCTGCTAGTGGCTTCATGAAACAGGTACCAGCTAAAAAACATAATTTTTTTTAGTGTATTGGACTGAATTGCTTTTTTTATATAGCTTATTACTAGAAATCTTTTTTTTTTTTTTAAATCAATAATGTAACTGTTCCTGTGAGATTTTCGTTAGAATAATGGTTCTAAAATGTGCAGTACAAGAGCATAGACTTCCTCTTGGGACTGAAAACTGTATTTTCGTATTATTTTCTACTGGTTTCTAACCTTTATTATTATTTATAACACTGTTGGGGAATAAGAAAGTCTCTGCTTCATGATAAAGTTTTAAATTCCTTTTTTCTTCAGTTGATTTATTTCTCTTTAATGACTTCCAAGATTGTGATGTAATCTAATTTTTTATTTGATACCCACCTCTGTAATTTCAAATTTTCATATAAATTTCTTAATTTTCTCCCACTCCATTTACAGAGATTGGTTGGAAGAATTGTTTCTTCAGTTTTTTAACATGGACTGCATTTCTGGGACTTCTTTTTACATATGTTTAAGCATTAAAAAATTCTTAATGTTCTATCATGTGAATGGTGTGATCAGATTAATTGATTACTCAGATATTTTTCTGTGACTACAAAATATCTGTCATGAATGTCTAGTTTAACATAGCTCATGCTGGTTTGGAGCAGAGCGCTGAGACAGGGTCTGGTTTAATAAAGCACCACTTGATATCTTTAAAGCCAAGTGAATGCATGTATACTCAGAATATTTTAATTGTTTGTAGTTGATGTAAATGCTTTCATCTACTTAAAAGCAAGCTGATTTCTGTCCTGTGGATCTGCTGCTTTGTCACTGTGCAGATAGTGGTTATAGTTTATGCATTACTGTTTGTGAGCTAAGGAGCGGTAGTACTATAACTCTTAAAATATATATTCCAGAGGTTATATACAGTAACCTGTGTGATTATGACTGGGACAAAGTAAGGACAATATATATACACATACATATATTGAAATACTTATTACATTAGGGAGATTGTACTGTTGATTCAAAAAAATGTGTAACTGTATATATGTAATTGTATATAGGTTTGGTTTCTGGCTGCGTTATATACTGAATGAATTTTGTTGCTTACTCCTAGGAAGTGGCTGTTTTTGTCTTTGATAAGAAGCTAATAGACAAGTATCAAAAATTTGAAAAGGATCAGATTATTGATTCTTTAAAACGAGGCGTTCAGCAGCTAACCAGACTTCGACACCCTCGACTACTCACTGTTCAACATCCGTTGGAAGAATCCAGGTAAGCTGTAGTAAAATTAGGAACAGACTTTCTTAATCATTGTTTTGTTATTGGTTATAAAATATCTGGAACATTCAACACATACATCTGTGAGATTCAAGTTTACTATTTGTACTTACTAAGAATGGTATTCACTCCACCCTTTGATTTTTATTGCCTTCCCCCCACCCCGTCCCTCCCAACGCCATAGGATGCATTCCTGGTGTAAATCTAATAACCTACTGCATGATCTTAGTCCAGTTACAGCTGTATAGGTACACATGACCCTTACGGCAGGAAAATTTGGTAGTTCAATTACTTTAAATTTTAAAGAATACTCTTAAAAATTGTTTTCTTTCGAGAAGTTGTTCATACATTTGTTCCATTTATGAGATGTATCTACTCGGTGCATGTGAGATTGGAGATTTTTGTTAAATTGTATCTATTGTGGCCACATAGGTGTTTAAAAGGCCCTCCTATGCCAAACAAGGGAAACAGAATTCAGTGTGTTTTTGTAGCGTTTGTTTGATTTATGTAAGGTTAGTCACTAGGCACAATAATGGGTTAGTCTGATAGATTTGTCATTCAGCTGTAGTGATAACAGCACGCTAAAATCTGACAAATAAAATGAAGGTTTTGTGTTAAAATGGAAAGCTTATCCTGATCCTACAGAGGAAGATAGTGAAGGTTTTTTTCCAAAGTAGTTTTTCTAAATGATAGCCTAATACCTTTTGAACTAATGCTTTTTTTAAATTGTCTGTTAACCTGCCTATTTGCAAATGTACTGGCTTCTAGGAGCTGAGAATACTGTAGAAATGCCTCTTTATCTTTGCGATGTCTACTTTGGGAAAGATTTCTTAGATTAAATGACACTTGCATATTCATATGTATCTTTCCTCTAGTACTAAACACATTTTGCATTAACAAGGTTTCAAAGCTGTCATTGTCCCTATGGTTCAGTATGCCTCCCCACAAAAAACTAAGGAAGATTAATTATGTAATTGAAGACAACTCTCAGTATTCTACAACAGTAAACAAACTATTACATGCTAAATGGCCTAGGGTCATCTCGGTCATAGTGTATGCAAGTGAATCCCAGAGGATATCCCAGGCTTCTTCCTAAAATTGTTACAGTATTTCAATTGACTCAGCAACTGCATCTGTAATTATTTTCTTTCCTGAACTCTGCTCTTCAGAAGAAGAGGATAAGATTCATACCTTGGAGTGTTAAGAAAGTTTTGGTGTTCTTGTAAAGAATTTAAGCCTTTTGAGGAAAATTAGCAGTAGTTAGAGTTCTCATTTGTGAGTTTTCGTAATGCCCTATGCCTTGCTCCAGTTGCTCTTCTTTCCATACTCAGCACGCTCCCTGTAGAGACATCCATAACACCAAACCTGTCCAGTTGCTTGCTTTGCCGGAAACTGGTGTAAGAATTTTTGAAGGGGGTTCGTATACGGAAGGTTTGCTTGAAGTATTTTTCTGTGTAACCTTGTGCAAACATGCTGTAAGATTTCTTTAGAATTGCAGGTCTTTCCAGAGTGCTTATTCTTGAAGAAATCTGTCATGGGCTCCTTCCGGCTAGACTGTACCTGGTCTTTTTTTGTGTCTCCAAAGTAACATACAGTTGTGTGGAACTGCTTGCAAGTCACCCTATATTCATCTTTTGTGAGGCCTTTTTTGTGTTTTCACATTCCTAATCCTGTTCCCAATAACCCGGTGTTGTCCTGTCGTATATGTCAGGATTGTTTTAAAGATCGTCCAAGTAGCCACGCTAGCCAGCCAGTGTGAGCGATTCACAAAAAGGTAGAACAGTTTGGTTTAATTGCAGACATATTGATGTGCAGTGCTATCTCTGCTCTTTATAGAGACCAGCTAGGGTTGAAGAAAACTTGTTGTCCTGTGTTCTTAATTGTATAAGGGCCTGTGTTGTAGATGTGAGGAGACAGTTGAATAGGAGACCGAGTTGGCAATAGTGGCTGTTGAATTTTGGTTTCAAATTGGAGAGCCATGCTGGAATGAAAGTCGAGATCGCTCCAGAACCACATTATGAGTGCTGAGTGGAATATGGTAAAAATATACCAACATTTGTGTCCGTAGGGACAGAGACGTGTGTGTCCAAAATTACATTTGGTCTTGCTTTCAGTGTATTCTACAGTAATGTGTAGGGCTGTTGCACACATTGTGGGGTTTTCGGTTCGATGTCCTATTGAAATGGTGTCTCCAATTGTCCCTTTTAGAGATGGAATTTGCCAGTCTATATCTTCTTCTTTTATAATCCATTTCTGTTTATGGAAGGCAAAATTATTGTGTAGTGCTACCACAGAGAAATTTAGGATGTAACAGGAGAAGTACTGGGTCCATATCATTATAGCCTATATGAGCATGAGTCCATGGCCATCCTGTTGTGCACAAGTTCCGTATATTGTGTGTGTCAATTGCAAAATCAAATAGTAGATCTGTGTTTTTATACAAAATGCAGGTTGGTAAAGGTGAAGGTAAAGGTGGAATAGGTTTGGTAAAGGTGAAGTTGTACCTGCAATCTACATTTGGTTCTGTTATTTTGTAACAGTTGTTATTGTTGTTTTTCGGTTTGGAGAAATAGATATAGAATATTTTCATTTCGGTTGGCCTGTGGTAACTAGATCTACTGATTATTCAGCACCCAATCTGTCTTCTCTCTCCTGGTATGGCCTGGAGCTCAGCCATCTGATGAGAGTCATCCCAACCCCATTTGTCTCTTGAGTATATTTCATTCCCCTGTAAGACTTAAGGTGGAAAGATTTAGGTTTGCCTCACTTTGAGGTGTTTTAGTGCTTGCAGTGTTTCTTAGTAGTGCATGGTCTCAAGGATCTTGTGCTTGGGCTATTTACTTACTCCAATAAGCAGGAACAGAGAAAGTGGGGAAGGGGCGATACGTCACTGTCATTGTTGCCATGGATGCATATCCCAACAGGTCAATGAAGGATTGTTGTTGGAGAAAAAGATAAAAAAGCCAAATTATAAATTCACTCATAATGTCATTGCTGCCCGATAAAAATATCAGTAATGTGAAGAGTCTGAGATACTTAATTTACTAGACATACCATCTGTTGCAATTTTTCCCAAAGCACATGTATTTTTGGCCATCACTTTTATTTTTAACTTGTTTTCTTTTTCTTATGTTACTCTGAATTTAATTTTGATATTATTCAGGGAATTGTTAAAGAAGCTGCACTGTATGGCAGACATCAGCTTTTGCAATATTCAGTTGTTTTAATTAGATTTGCTGAATCCTTCCATTACTCTGGTTTGAGTCCTGATTTAATTAGCTCCTAAAGTAAAAAATAAACAGCCATCTTTTTATTCTGTCAAAACTACAGCAATCAAAGTGTTTATATTATGAAAATTACTGATTAACTGTTCCCTAGGTATTTTCCATCATCTACGCCTTAACCGTTACTAAGTCTGTAAGTACTATGGTAAAGTTGAAGTCAGATTGAAAATGAAGTACTTTGTCTTTCTGTGCTCTGATTCTTCCTTGTGATTTTCACAGAAACAAGTTTTATAGCCCTAGCTGTGTTAATAGAAACATGAAAGGAATGGTGTGAACAGAACAGTAGGGAGGAAGACAAGCAGTAGTTCTGTCAGGTTGGCTGAATTCATGTATTCATGATATTGGCTGAATTCGTGTCTTCTGTGATATTTTTAAGGAATGCACAAACAGTTAGGCTTCTGTCTTCTGGCCTATAACTTTAACAGTAATAAAGATACATTTTTGAATAATACTGAGTCTCAGTTTTTTGTGTTTGTACTCGTGCAGCATTTAGTGTTCTTGTGAATTATTCATCCTTAAACCAGGTATGTGTGCTACCATCCATGTAACGCTTTCTCCAAAAGAACTTTAAAACAATAAAGAAGTGAGGTGCAATGCCTGCCCAGGGCCTCTCCATATGAAGAATGTGGATATAATGACTCTGTCTACGTTACAGGTTGTATGAGGCTCTGGGCAACCTGGTGTAGTGGAGGGTGTCCCTGCCCATGGCAGGGGGCTTAGAACTAGATGATCTTTGAGATCCCTTCCAACCCAAACCATTCTATGATTCTACATGAAGTTTGTGAAATGGAGACACACATTGTTTTCAGGACTTTGAAATTTGACATTTTGAAGCACAGTGTTACAACCGGTCCACTTTGTGTGGAAGCTTGCTTCATCTGTGCTTTTCAAACCCTGTTAACACAAAAATGTGTCAACAAGACCTTTAGTTTTTCGTGAAGAAAACAATTGATAAAGTAATGTAGAAAACAGTCTTTACACATGCAAACTGCAGTTTGTAATACAAACATCATCGCGTTTGCACCTCTTCTTTTCATTTAATTTGCAAAGTAAAAGAATATTCAGGTGCTAATTTACATTTTATTACTTTTGTTTCTGATGATCGTCTGACCATATTAAGTATTGCTTCACTCAGGACATACCTGTTTTAGACACAGCTAAAAGCCTGATTTTACAAGTGCTCTGGTAATGTATAATATGCTGTTTGTGTGATTCTTTATTTGCAGTCAAGAGATATATTATATTTATTTACAAGAAATGTTTTTATGTATTTCCTCTATAGAGATTGCTTGGCATTTTGTACAGAACCAGTCTGTGCAAGTTTAGCTAACGTTCTTGGCAGCTGGGACAACCTACCTTCACCTTTACCATCTGACATTAAAGAATACAAACTTTATGATGTGGAGACCAAATATGGTTTGCTTCAGGTATGACACAGATTGTCCTTATAATTTTCATATGCTTTTAGTATTAATGATTATTTTATAAAGTTTGTAAACTGCCAAACAAAGTTTTGTCTGACTATAGTAAATCAAATAATTGGGAAGTGAGAGATCGTAGTGTCCTGATCACTATGAGAGAGGATAAACACTGGAAGTTCTAAGTTGCTGCTGGTTTTGCTTGTTCCGACATGGAAAATATGAAATCAAATGAATTTTTGTTTTCTATATAAATGTCTGTGCTACAGCTGTCTCTCCCATATGCGACTCTTTTCTTTACCTTCTGTGGAGGAATAGTAGCTCTAAGGTTTTGTTTGGTGAATATGTTGATTGGGTTTGAAAAGCATTTTTGTCCTCATGCTGTGATATTTAATTGGCATTAGTAATTTCATCAGCTGTTTATCCATCTGTATTTAATTTCCTTCATACATAATCTTGAAGACATACCCTAAAATAGTGGTGAAAAATTGTTTCTTAGTTAACTTGCCTTTGACTGGGACCACAGGAACAGAATTTTTGTAAATGTCTAACAGGATATTGGGGAAAATACTTAACTTGAAACAACAATCTTTTATTAACAGGTTTCTGAAGGCTTGTCATTTTTGCATAGCAGTGTGAAAATGGTCCATGGAAATATTACTCCTGAAAATATAATTTTGAATAAGAGTGGGGCATGGAAAATTATGGGCTTTGATTTTTGTATCCAGTCAACAAATCCATCTGAACAGGAGGTAATAGATATTTATATTTATCATTATTAAAGATCTTTGTCTGAAACCAGTCTCATGACCTTGCATTTCAATACAGAATCATTTATTTGATATTCACCTCTATATTTTATTGTCAGGAGGTTTGAACATATGGCACAGGTCTGGTTTGAAGTGCTGCCTTTGGTCATCACAGAAAAAGAGCTCGAGTTGGCTCAGTGGAGGCAAAATAGACTAGTGATGGTTTCAGACAGAGGCTGAAGCCTATATTGGTTCTGCTCACCTGCGTGTTGAACGACATGCAAAGCTACCTAATTTAGTCTGTTGCATCCACTCAGTGCCTGGTTGCTACCTCTTAAAATGAATTTTGATCATGGCACATGTTTCCCTCTTACAGCAGTGCTTTGGTTTTGCATTACACTTCCCAATTCTAATAGTCAGACGTAACTGCATCAGCTAATCCCTGTACGCTACAGACAGATTCTTAACAGTTTTGCCTTACTCCATTTCTGTTTCATTCATAATTGAATTTGAGTGGATTAATTATTTGCTGCTAGAGTTTCTTATTTAAAATGTTCTTTAAAAATCCGTAGTAAATGTACTTTCTTTTACTTCTCTCCTAGCCAAAGTTCCCGTGTAAAGAATGGGATCCAAACTTGCCATCGTTGTGTCTTCCAAATCCTGAATATCTGGCACCAGAATATATTCTCTCTGTGAGCTGTGAGACAGCCAGTGATATGTACTCTCTAGGAGCTGTTATGTATGCAGTGTTTAATAAAGGGAAACCAATTTTTGAGGTCAACAAGCAGGATATTTATAAAAGCTTTAGTAGGCAGCTGGATCAGGTATTTTTTCTATTTGTGACTATTATTCATTGATTTCATATTTGAAAAGTTACTGTTTTAAAATAGATTAAAATATGTAGAACACAATACCAGTGCTCCAATATAAATAATCCAATAATTCTCTTACCTTGCATGCTATTTTTGTAGCAAGAAAAAAGAATCCTAGCAAAATATGGGAAATAAAAGTACATGTAGAGAAGGTTATATGTACCAACTTTATAAACTACAAATTTCTTTTTTCACCCGATTTCTCCTGTTGAATGCTGATCTTGTGTAATAAATACCTGTTAGGGTGAACAGCGTGAAACACAAGGCAGTGAGTGACTTATATAGGGCTGTTAAAGGTGACTGAGTTTAGAGTGATTTGATCACTTGACATTGCAATTGGTATCCACTTAGCTATCAGCTATTTCATATTCTTTGTGAACTATGAATATTAACAGAAGACAGTTACTTGGATCAGCTGACATAATGTATGTTCATATGCAAGTTTCCTTTGTTGTACCTTCTTTGGATGCCATTGCCTTAGTTGTGTGTACTGTATTTTAGTGTGTGTCGACAACACCTCAGATAATAACATGTACCCGTTTAAAAATAATGGGTTTGTGTTCTCTGATAACCTTAACACAATGATAAGTTGGAAATAGGGGAATATGACCAGAAGCAGATAGACTTTTGGGAGACAGAAAGAAGACTATGAAGGATCATAAACAAATGGGTTTTAAAAGGGGAGAAGGGAGGGCTATCAAAGGTGTGGGTAGAGAAACCATCAAGGGGACAAAGTATAGTCCTGTTGTATATTGGAAATAGTTATATACAGGATTTTCTGACTTCATGGTGCATGTGCTTAAATTACTTATGCAGCTGAGCCGTTTAAGCTCCAGTACTCTTCAGAATATACCAGAAGAGGTGCGTGAACATGTAAAGCTACTCTTAAATGTAGCTCCAGCAGTCAGACCAGACGCAGATCAAATGACTAAGGTCAGTTCATGGAAAATATAGTAGCCATAGGAAAGAAGGAAAATAGTGTTTGATTTGTAGAAACAATAGAGCTATTTTGAAGTGTTTTCCTGTTACTCATTTTAGTTGAAATGTTAAATATTTTTTAACTAATTTGGAAATAATGATGTTAGTTGATGCCAAAAGTTGTCCTTATGCTGACCTTTATTTGTATGGAAAAAGTGGGTGCTGAGACAGAATTTGGAATAATCATTCAATGCAACACTATTTTATTGCTTTCCAATACAGTTGGAAGTATTTTCTCTGCTATACTTTTATACAGTTCAATCTTTAAGACTGTATTGGAAGGATTTTAAAGCCATAAAATGATAAAGGGCAATAAATGTAAGGATTAACTTTTGGCTTATGATTTTCAGTGCATTCTTAAATATACAGAAGAATAGCTTAAAATACATTTGGAGCTTGTTTGCCATAATAAAGCAAAAAATAATTGCAAGTAGGATAATTTAAGTTTTAATTTGACAAACTCTTCCTCCACTTTACTGTCTGAAAGTAGAACCTTAAAAGCATTGTTCTTCCTTTGTCTTATACTCTGTTTTCTCATATCTGATAGCCTTTTAGATTCCTGCTCATAGATTTGCTTAGCTAAACAATTTTCTTCTTTTCCTGAGAGAAATCAGTGTCTTAGTAATTGGAAGAAATAGTGATTGAAGAAGGGAGGGAGAACAGAATGGTTCTGCCAACACATATACTGAAAGATGGGAAGTGAGTAAATTGACAAATGAAAAGAGAAAACTTCAGGGGGACCTAATAGCTGCCTTCCAATACCTGAAGGGAACCTACAGGAAGGCTGGGGAGGGACTTTTGACAAGAGTGTCCACTGATAGGACAAGGGGAAATGGGTTTAAGTTGAAGGAGAACAGATTTAGATTAGATTTTAGGAAGACGTTCTTCAGTATGAGGATGGTAAGACTTTGGAATAAATTGCCCAGAGAAGTTGTGGATGCCCCCTCCCTGGAGGTGTTCAAGGCCAAGTTGGACGGAGCCTTGAGTAGCCTGGTCTAGTTGAGAGGCGTCCCTGCCCATGACAGGGAGGTTGGATTAGATGATCTCTGAGGTCCCTTCCAGACTATGTTATTCTATGATTCTATGAAATATTAGTCAGATATCACCTCACTTGTCTGAAGGACTGCCACAAACCAAGCTGTAAATGGTTGTACTAAGCAGTATGTTTTTATGAAGATGTTAAGTCTCTTTTACCACGTCTGCACTGCAGACTGAGTTGTAGGGTGGAGATATTAGAGCTTTAGTTCTAAAAGCACTTTGTTACGACCAGCGTGACGTGAGCTAAATGGAGCTTGACGTGGTCAAGTTTACCTTGCTAGTTTTAATTAGTTTGTGTTAACCTATGTAGAATTCCACCATCACGTACATTTTCGTGTGTGATCTAGAAGACCGAATTTAAGACCACAGTACAGGCTAACTTCAATTCTCTGCTGGTAGATTCTTTTCTTCTGTATTGTCCTACTCCACTTTTCTGATTCTTTTCTTCTTTATTGCCCTACTCTTATCAGCTTCTCTTTCTGCCTTACAGCAGAGCTTATTTAACTGATTTTATATCCTTTCTTTTTGCACAAATTTTTCAACTGGAAACCAGTTTCTAAATAGTCTGAGAGACCATGCTTTGTCTTTAACTGTTGTGAACCCATGAGGTTTGATATATCCCTCCCTAAAACTGAGAGCTAGCAGGAAGGAGGAATCTTAGCCGTGCAAGTTTTTGAATGCAGAACTTTTCATTCCAGTCTGTGGAGGTCCGGCATAGACACTCTTCTACTCTTTTGGTTCATCTGCTAACTGAAAACTGAATATTTGATGATAGATTTTTATATAAACTATATAAAAAAAATACATATTTATCTTCATATCATCATGTGTTTTTATCAATCTGTCATTAACGATGAAGCAGCTCGATCAGTACTAATATGATATACCACAGCTATAGATGAAACCCCCAGGTATTTTGTTGGTACCATCTTGATAAGCCTGGTCTATGTATATATATTGTTACACAATACTTCTGAAGGCCTGTGCCCTCTTTGATGAAGTAATGCAAACATGGAAGATCATGTGAGAAATTATAGCGGACAGGATTTACAAGTCGATCTGAACGTTGGTGAGAAGTTTATATAATTACACATTTATTGCATATAAATGCTTGTTGATTCATTATAAATTTCCAGGCGTGTTAGCCAGCTCTGGATGGCCTAGTCAGTAATCCTTTGATGTAATATTAAATAGCATAATTATTCCTAGGAGAACTTTTAATTAAGGATTTTACTTTTCATTCTATTTTTTGGAGACAAAACATTATTTTGTATACAATAAGGTAACATGCATGGGTTTCTTTAAAATGATCGGAAAATTCCATCTTAATAATCAACCTTTATCTGTGAATGTTATGCAGGCACGTCATTGTAAAGGTTTACTGTAGTGCATTGAGAAAGTAAATAGTAATTATATTATGAAATCTTTGTAACAGTGTCAGTGTTGTCTCCCTCCAGATTACAAGCTTTTAATCTTATTTTTAGATACCATTCTTCGATGATGTGGGAGCAATGACGCTTCAGTATTTTGATTCATTATTTCAAAGGGATAACCTTCAGAAATCACAGTTTTTTAAAGGGCTACCAAAGGTTCTGCCAAAACTACCTAAGGTATGTCTAAGTGATGTCTTGCAATAGTGAGTTTAAGAATATGTGGACATCTATTAATGTGCTGAATCTGGGAATGCTGGACTTTGTGTAGCATTGTGCCATAATAGACTGCCGGGAGACTGTCAGAATAGAGCAGTAGGAAAGAAAGGGAGATTAGAAAATAATTGGTGTGGAAATACTCCTCAGCTATCAATAATTCTTTAAATGGAAAATGGCAAATTGCGCCATCAGTATGTGGAAGGAACTATCATTTGTCCTCTTGTAGTTCATCTCACTTTGAAAGGGAGTTGTCGTCTTTCCTCTTACAAGGCTTTCCCTTGTTTTCCAGATGCTATCATAGCTCTTTGAAGTCATCTTGCCATCTTGTCTCCCAATAAGATTGCTTCAAGTTTTTTCATAGCAAGGCAGTACTTTAATGTTGAATGATGCAAAGCTTCCTTCCCTCAACAGGCGAAGTGCTTTCTTGTTCTAGCAGTGCCCGGAAACCTCAAAGGCAAATGTCTGTCATTACAGATTTCTTCTGTGTAGTGTTAGATGCTATGTCTAGACTGAGTCCTTTTCCTTTTGTGGTATTCTTTAATTTAAATAAGGCATAATGCATGTGTGATAGAAAAATAGTATTAGTTTAAAAAATAATAGAATAGCTGAGCTTTTCAGCCATTGCATTACATTTATTTATTTTTAATTCTGTTTTGAACTACGCAGTGCAAAATTCGGACTTCATGTTTAACACTCTCTTCTTTTTAATTTAGTGATTTTTTTTCCTTTGCTTAGAAATCATTGATGCTTTGAATTTGGAAATAGATGGGATATATTTCACCTACTTTAGACAGCTGCTGACTGACCTAATCATCTTTAGGGCATTTATTTTTTTTCTGTCTTGAAAGTATATTCTATGAGGAAAGGGACTGTGCCCTTGAGCTGTGTATTTCTTGACTTTAAAAGTATTTAAGGATGTCTAACTCTACAGTAGACATCCACAGTGTAAGTATCTGTTTCATCAGCAGAATCCCATTTAGGGAATGTACCTGCAGTTTTACGGGAAGGTGTTCGTTCAGTGAGTGATGGGGTACTGAAAAACTGATTATTTCGAGGGGGTAATACGGTCTTTTTTAAGGGTCTTTTTTAAGAAAGCATATAGAGTAAGGTTTTCATAATTTATGTATGTGACTGAAAGCCCTATTTTCTGTACAGTTAATTACTTTTTGTTGACTTTCACAGTTGTTATCGTCTCCACTTATGTTTTGAATGCAGAGAAAAGTAAGCAACATAGCAGAGTGTAAATTAGCTAGACTGTACTGTGAAATTAAGAGTTCAAAATTGAAAATAGTCTGTTTTTGTAAATATCAGGTGAATACAAAAGCTCTTGAGCTGACACAATGCTAACTTACTGCAATGCATCACAATGTGATGCATGCTTGTTTTTCTCTCTTTTAGCGTGTTATAATTCAGCGAATTTTGCCTTGCTTGACTTCTGAATTTGTGAATCCTGATATGGTACCATTTGTCTTGCCTAACGTTCTTCTCATTGCTGAGGAATGCTCCAAAGAAGAATATATCAGGCTCATTCTGCCTGATCTTGGTCCTGTTTTTAAGCAGCAAGAACCAATCCAGGTATGTTAATATTGTTCAGATTACAATTTTTCTCTTTGATGTTTTTTTCCTGAAAAATGACTAATTGTTCTATTTCCCTTTTCCAGCTTCACACAGATTGCGCAGCCTGCTCTGTAGTTTTCCAAGCAGTCAGTCTTGAGTCATAAGAAATAGATCTTTTTTCCAGAAAATTCATAAAACGTCCGCCCCTGCTGTTTCAGATGGGTTTTTTGAGGGTATATTTGCATTTATAGATGAGATTAGGTTAGAAAAAAAGCAAACATTTAATTTACCACTCAATTCTTGGTTTTGGTTGGTTGTAGAAGATATATTTGTAAGCATTTGATCACTTACCTAGCCAATCTGAGTGAGATTGTACAGTACAATATTTGTACATATTCTACCAGTAGCTGAACCTATGATTTTTTTTTTCCTTGTATTCAGATTGCTGACACTGGGATCATGGAGTGAAAAAGTTGTAACTTTGACACTCTCTTAAAAGTGCTGTTTATTGATGATAATAATGTTTATTTGAGGGCTGTGCACAAATTTATGAAATTTGTTTCATTTTATTTGACAAATGTATTGTGTAAGTAAAATACGTTTTTTTCTGTTGTTTACATGCATAAAAGTAGTAAGATGCTATAATTTCTGTAACAGAGCAAAATATTTGCATCCTTTTGTCAACATCATGTGCATTATGATTCCTGAGAATTCTGTCACTAAGTTAGGCATTGTGCCTCCACAGATAAAAGGCAGATACGCATTCCGTCAAGCTCACTTTGTTTTACTGCTGCATGCTGTTATTTCTCTGCAGAGCATTTAAGGGGCAGAATAAATATAGGAATGAACAAGTAGACCTTTTATTTCTAGGTTTCAGAAAACTGGATCATAGAACTTTGATTCCACTGGGGAGCAGGAAAAAGGGACAATTATGTAACTAAGAGTACCTCAGAAAATTAGATTACTTAATGTTCTATACTTTGGGGGAATGCTAGCATTGTTGTTGTCTTGAAAAAATTAAATGCCTAACTGACTGAAAACCATTGAACATCTTATTTGTACTGCTTTGTCCTAAAAGGTAACATTATGTTTTTCTACCTTTAACATCAGATTTGTGAGACAATCCTCACTGCAAAAAGTTTGTCTCAAAGTTATCTGGAGCATAATGGGTGCAAAATTTGTTTCATTTCTTGAGAAATGAGGGAAGCAAAATGCAGACTTGGGGTCAGCTCATAAAGAGCAAGCTTCACAAAATTTTTCTGTAGCTTTCTAAATACTGTATATTAAATTCTTATGTTGACTTTCTTTAATGCACACTGAGTACTAGAAGGCTTATTCCACTATTATTTCTATGGTCTTTTTAGTATGGCAAAGTTTGTTTTAGTAATCTAGGACAGGTTTTCAGAGTTAATATACTAGGAATTCAGGAAAAAAATATAAAGGTTCAGAGTGTTAGTGGACAGAATTCCAGGTCTGACTGTCCTTGTGCAAGGCAAAACCGTCCAGTTCCTGTGTGTTTGTAACTCACAGAGAGGGGCGGATGGGGACGATGTCAGTGTTTCTTCCAAATGCTCTCTCAAGATGTTTTAGATTTGTATGAGGCCTGTCACTTGGCTTTTGTAGGATTCTTGAGTTAGGAAGTGAATGTGTCATAGGGAGGCTCCGGTAATTCAATATGAAGAAATTGTTATCCAGTGTTCACTATGTCTGTGGATGAGGGATTTTATAATATGAAAATGGAATATTTAGTTACTCATTCTTACCATGCTCTTGGAGTTAGCATGGAGTAACTGATGGGCTGTAAATTACCATCCTCACTTACTCTGACATGACTTCCCAGTGTAGACAAACCCTTAATTTATATCTAGGGGAAGCCATAGAGACTTAGCTTATGAAGTACTGCAAATTCATATTCTAATTCAGTAAACCAAAGTATTCCCTGACAAGCCCTGGGCTCTGTATTAATGAATGAAGCATATCTTTAGCATTATTGTTTAGAGTGCAACTGCTGCTGCTTGCTTGTTAGATGGTGTATTTTGAGTCTGTGACTATGACATCTTAGTTTCTAACTTAAATAGATAAAAAGTTATCAAATATGATCTTAGAAAGCTTAAAATAAAAGGGTGTTCATTGGAACAGTGTGCACTACATTGAAGTTAAAGACAGGTAGGGAGAGATTTCAAAAACAATTCAGCTTTAAGTTATCTTAGTCGAAACCATTGACAGCTGGTGGAAAACAACTGAACTGCTGTGAAATCTAAATGACCATAAAGTATGATATTTAACTCAAAAGCAGTCCATTATGCGTTCAAACATCTGGTTCTTATTTTAAAGCTTTTCTAGGTGTTAAATAACAGGTTTCATTCATGTCCTTTTCAAATTTGCAAAAACAATCAAACAATCCTTCTAAAATATATATTTTACTAACTTGGAAACTGTCATGCCACAGCATTACAAGGTTGCTAGACAAGAGGACAATGTTATGAGCACATGAATGTTTCAAAAAGTCAAGTTTAGGACAAATAAAAAATCCTTAATCAAGAATAATTATAAAATCTAACTTTAAAACTTATCTGATCCATCTCACTCTAATTCTCCCAAATTTGGGGATATTGCATCACGATCAGTATTCATGGAATGAATGAATGAGTCTGTGTGTGTGTGTGTGTACAGTTTAGCTAATTACACAGTAAGAAAACACACATTAGCTGCAGTTCAAAAGAATTTATTTTTCTTCCCTGTAAAGGAAGCAAATGAGAGGGGAAACATATGTGGTCTTGGTGCACTTGTATTTCTACACTCGAATGCTTCTGTTTATTTGATATACAAGCACTGATTGCTATGTATTTTTAGACTTAAAAATTGAAATCTTTTCCTCCTGTGAAATACTTGGCTTTTTATTGTAAACGTGATACCATTCACCACAATTTATCCATCTGGTCTAACCTACTTTCTAAAAGAAGTTTAGATATCAGTGGATAGTCAGTGTCACCTGTAGCAAGTTGTCTCACCTCTCTGAGATGAGACATGAGTCTTATGAGTTACATAGCTCTCTGTATTGGATATTGAACCTGAATGAGTAATTTAGAGTAGAAGCTCACTTTTAGAAGGCCAAGACTAAGTAAGGTGAATTCCACTATGTAAATGTGCTATTCCGGTGTTGCTTTTTAGATTAATGTGTTATGATTTTTTTGTTGTTTGGGATTTTTCAGTTTACGATACATAATTTCTGTGTGAAATAGAATAAAGCTGTTTTGTGTTCTTATAGTAGCTGTAAGATTCTTTTCATCGTGTCCCTGTTTTGATTCTAGATACAAATGGAATGCAGCTTTTATGTGGCGTTGTGATCAAATGCCTTAAGGGCAGCATTTGAACCATAGTTTTTTGAAAGGTTAGCTTTTTCAATAGGGATGTGTGTATAAAGGTTTTCTGTGGGTGGATTTTAACAAATAACCAAATAACTTGTTGTAAATAGAAACAAGAACTCCGTCCTTAGCCGTTATGAATTCTTACTTTGGAAGGATTAGTCGAGAACACGCATATTTTGTTTGATTTGTATTTGCTATTTTTAAAATGCAATAATATGTAAAAGTGTTTTTTGTCTTCCATGCCTTCAGGCAAGCAACATGGTAAGTGATCACATTTACTGAGTTGGAAGAAAACTTCTGAAGTTTTTATGATATGATACAACGCACTTTACGTTGTAAGTATATGTTTCTAAAGTTAAAACTTTTGGCTTCTGAATTGTCCTTCTTTTAATAGATCTTGTTGATCTTCCTGCAAAAAATGGACTTACTTCTAACCAAAACTCCACCAGATGAAATAAAGAACAGTGTTCTACCAATGGTTTATAGAGCCTTGGAAGCCCCTTCAATTCAGATCCAGGTACAGTAATTGCAGCCTTTGTTTAAAACAGTTTTCTTCTCTTTTCTTTAAGCTGATGTGCCAAATTTTTTATATCCTTGTGTTTGTTTACTTGAAAAAAAAAGATGAAGCGGTGTGATATTCCTGAATGTTGAAAGAGATGAATGTTTTATTAAAGAAAATTTGTTTTAGTGAAATAAAATTTAGTTATCTTATTTTCCAGGGAGTAACCATTTGATTGTTGTTCTAATGCTCTTATCCTAAATTCTGACTAGCCACCATAGCAAACAGTAGGATGTGCATTTATAAACTGTTGCCTGTGCCGCAAAAACCGTGCAGGCATGCATGTTCTTACCAGTCAGTGAGAGGTGTCTTATTCTGAGGTCCCACTGGTGAGAATATGTGTGCTGTCAGTTACCTTGGAAGACCTGACTTGCTGTGAAATCATGTTAATATACCTTCTGGTGACATTTTTATGTAACCATATTTCAATTTTTCTCTTTATGCTTCTCTACCTTTCTACGTTTTTTTGCTTGCTTGTTTGTTTGTTTGTTTGTTTTAAATCGTTCTTCCACTGGAATTAAATTCCAGTTAGCCAAGGACATTCAGGAGGGGAAGGGGGAGATGAGCAAAGAAAATATTTCTTAAAGAAGGTTTTGGATAATCAGATGTGACTTTCACCTTTGCAATGCCTTTACAGTACTTTTGATGAAGGTTTTTGTTTGTACATACCTGGCTTGAGTTTTTTCTGCATCAGTAGTTTTGTTACTCAGGTATTTACTTGCAACCTATACTGAATATTACTATCTCGTTATTTTTTGAGATGGGCCTGAAATTGGGTATTTTTTTTTCCTCTGTTGCTTAACTATGTTTAATCTTGGCATGCTCTTTTATGTTTCAGCGTATCATTGTGCTGCTGCAGAGTTGATAATACTCACTCAGATTTGCTTGATTTGTGTAGGAAAATGTTATAATTTGATGTAATAAAAGTCATTTTTTATATAAAGGTTTTTATGAAAATGCAAGATATTCCTGCTATCCAAATATTTTATTATAAATTTATGAATACTCTTTTTGAAATCCATTTTCCAGAGTTCTATCTGCATATCATGATGCTTTATTTTTCCAGCTATTTTTAAGTAAGTGTGATAGATTAAGGTCAGCTTAGTTGAACATGATATTTCCTTAAATATTTCCTTAAAAGATAATTTTAAGAAGACATTTTAAACTAATTTTGATCTTTAGTACTAATTTTATAATAAACATGCATGTTTCCTTCTAAACTTATGCGTGTTTTTTTTTTTTAACAGGAGCTTTGCCTAAACATAATTCCCACGTTTGCCAATTTAATAGATTATCCATCAATGAAAAATTCATTAATTCCAAGAATTAAAAATGCATGTTTGCAAACTTCTTCTCTTGCTGTAAGTATTCTAATAATTTTATCTCTTTCTCAGTCATCGGAAAACGTTGTTACCTTTAATTTACTTCAACTTTGCTGCTGTTTTAAAGAAAAGCCCATCAGTGTGCCTTGATTTCTTTTTGAGATTTTTTTTTGCTCTCTTTTATAAGTACAAAAGCACCATTTACTTTTTTACTCTAACAGTTTTTAAAGTTATTAGCAACTTACTGTTGTTAAAAATACTGTAAAAATTGTTGAAGTGTGTTCCAGAATAACAGTGTTGGTCCCACAGGAAAGCCAAGGTTTTGTGATCCGTGTGTAACTATATATATTTTCCTTTTATGACACAAAAGATTTTGTTTTAACTTGACTTGAATTTTCAGATACAAAGGTCGTAGTTTCAGCAGCACCTGTTCTTCTAAGTATGAGTTTTGTATGGGGTTTTTTTCTTAGGCAAAAACATAGTAAAGAGTGTGTTTAATTGTCGTACTTCACAGGTCCGGGTAAACTCACTAGTGTGCTTAGGCAAGATTTTGGAGTACTTGGATAAATGGTTTGTACTTGATGATATTTTACCTTTTCTACAACAAATTCCATCCAAGGAACCTGCAGTGCTAATGGGAATTTTAGGTAATTAATATTTTCAACTTTCTTCTGTTTTGTGCTTTGATCTTGTAAATCTGAGAGCTTTCCATATTATCATCCGTAATGTTTTCATAGTGTATTGCTAAAATGACTGTTAAAAACTTCCTGTTTCTGGTTCTTTAGTATGCCTGTGTTCAGCTACCATATGTATTGCTGGTACTTCCACACACTAGTACATATATTTGTAGTCTTCAAGGCCCAATGCAGTTCAGAATACTCATTGCAGTTCTTGGACTGTTACACTGTCATGGACTGTATGGTCCACGCAGCCAGAGAGGCTGTTTTCCTCAGAAGAGTATACGAACTGTCTTCTTTCAGATGCTGCTGAGCTTTTAAGATGTTACTGTTGCCTTTTACCACTCTTGCATGTCAGATGCTATAAATGACTGTCTACAAATCTACTGCTCTTCACTGCAGGTTTTGTTAGACTCATTTTGTTGGACATTTAAACAAACATGGCTGTCTTTACACTGAAATGGAGCATAGTCTGGGTGAGGTTTCACAAAACAGCCGTGTGTAACACAGCCCCAAACGTTTGGGTAAGAATCTTTGTAAAATGCAGAGAGCAGTGTGATAGTTACTCCTAGACACTTTTGTATCCCAGGAGAGAACACATCCTTAGTTAATGCAATTTAATTTCTCAGTGGCAATTTGTCAGTTTGTGGTAACTCAGTTGTTAATGATCCGTTCAAAAAAGCATATTCTTACATAATTGACCAGGACTATATATTGCCTAATACCAGGTTTCATAGCTGCAAAGTATTACTGTGGACTTCCTCTTATTCTCAACTTTAGCAAAGCCTCTTGCCGTGATACGTTTGTGTTGTGAATGAGTACTTAGCTTTTATGATTCTCTTTGTCCCTGCTTGCACACAGAGCCAGTGTATGTTCAAATACATCAGTACATATAGGGAACGCTACTTTGTTCACATACTAAATTTAACAATTTTTGTATTTGATGTTGTATGTCAGGTATTTACAAATGTACATTTACTCATAAGAAGTTGGGAATTACCAAAGAACAACTTGCAGGAAAGGTATTGCCCCATCTGATTCCTCTTAGTATTGAGAACAATCTTAATCTCAATCAGGTATGAACATGACTATGTTACTTGCTTTTACTTGATAAATTTGCAGAGAATAGATTTAAACTGTTGTGGGGATTTTTCTTTGACGTAACTGTATGTCTATGTCTGTTGTAAAAGCAAACAAACAAAACCAAAAAACCTTCCAGTGTTGCTGTATTTGCATGTTTAAAGCTTTTTATTTTTCAGTGGATTTAATTGATCTAGTATAAAATTTCAAAACGAATACTATCACCTTCCAACTAATCCTGCAAAAGCAGTTACCTACTAACATAATTGCAATTCAGATTAAAAGCTAAAGTACGATCTTAATGTTTCTTCCCTTGCTCTTGTTTGTAACTGTTGCAGATAATGTAGAACTGCAATCATAGGATTTTTTTTTCAAATTAATGTGGTAATATTAGTCTGTGGGTTTTTGTCTGGTTTGCCACACATGTTTTTCTTGTATGTTTCTTTTACAGTTCAATTCTTTTATTTGTGTTATAAAAGATATGCTTAATAGATTGGAGGCAGAGCATAAAACAAAACTTGAACAACTTCATGTCATGCAAGAGCAACAGAAGTAAGTGTTTGTTTACATGTGTGTTAGAGAAGAAACAAGTGAACAGAGATAAATTTCAGTTAATTTTTTGGCAAATGTAAGAGAACTCTAGCTATAGCAATAAAAAATTTAGGTAATTCTCACTTCAGTAGTTGAGAATTACCTCAAATAAACACAGTTATCAGCAAAGATTTTTTAGTCCTAGAATGATAATAATATTGTGATGTCAGTGGTTTTATAGAGTAAAATCTTTTGTACAGTTCAATCACAGTTTATTATTTTGAGTCAATAATTTTTAATTAATTCATTAAATGTAAAAGTTCATACTGAACTCCACTAGTACAGTTTATGTCTTGCTTCATATATGCTAAGTTGCTTTTCTGTAGTTGTTGAGAACATAAACCATACTGGAGAAACATAAACATTGCAGCCTTTTAGAACGCAGTGATATTTGAAGATATTTAAAGCTATTTCATGGAGTCTGATACGAGGTCAGATTTCTGAGCCAAATTAACTTGGTCTACCCAAAGTCTGTGTCGCCTCGTTCAAAGGAGGAACATGTGAAATGATCAATCGGAAACCTTGACAATTTAGAATATTAACATTTTCCAGTCTCCTACAGGCATTCTATAAAAATGGCAATGATCTTACAATGCAATTTTTTTGCATTATTTAAATACAGAAGAATAATCTGCATTGCTGAATTAGTGTTGTTGATGTGTCTGCAAAGTTATCTTTTTGTAATATGTATACTCTATACTATATAGATCTTTGGATATAGCTAACCAAATGAGTGTGTCTGAAGAGGCAAGATCTAGTAGTACAAATAATCAGGTAAACAACAATATTTTATTGTGTTACTTATATGTAGAAATTTGAAATGTAAAAGTCAATATTTATGTTACCTTCAAATACAACATTTCAAAAAACTAAATTTTGTTTCTTTGAACTTGAACAGATTGACAAGGTATTTAATACTAGTGGAACTGACCTTCTAACTAGTGGATCTGATAGTAAAGAGAATGAGATGTCATCAAAACAGAAAAAGGTGTGTTTTACTTTGTTTTGGAATCCTGTTACATCCATCTGTCTAATGCAAGGCTGATCCAGTTGCATAAAGAGTATGTGTAAATACTTATCATATTTAAAGCTTTAAAAGAAAAACTAACTGCTTTTATATACAATAGCACCATACATAGTCATGAGTGAAGATCCACTGAAAAATGTTCAAATTATATCCTTGAATTTCTGTGAAAGCCTTTCCTTGAAAATAGCTTTGTACAAAGTAGGCAGCAATTAGGATTATAAATTTTAGGTCATTTTGTTTCTCCTTAGTTATAGATTTCAATGAAACTGAAACTTCAGCAGTGGATTTAGATAGGAAAATCAAAACAAGCATCTACATGATAAAATTACAGAGGTGATGATAAAATGTAGAATTTTATGTAGTAGCAGAGACTAACATTTACTGTACAATTCAAAGTTAAAATGAACAATCAATATGAGGATAAATACAAGAAGTAAAGAAAAAGCATGATATGATAGAATATTAAACATAAGCATAAACTAATATAAAATTCTTTTCATGCTATTAATTATGTAAATGGCTCCTCAGAATCTATAGATTTTATTGTTTCAGTTTCTGGTCATCTGAACTCTCTCACCACTTTTAGACTAAGGGGGAGTGAATTTATTATTTTATCCTTTATCATTAACAAAAATAGAGTTAATATCCTAAAAAGTCTCTTAAGCGATTTAAAAATAAAATTCTCTTTCCAACTTCATGGTCAGTTGCAGTTCTATATCAAGTGCCAGTTGGTAACCATATAAAAAGAAAAACTGTGAAGAACACTTTTTCTTATGTCCAACGTTCAGAAGACAAAGCTGAAATGGTTTTGTCATGAATTTATCAATCTTGTTATTTGAAATCTGTTCATATTTCTCATTATGCTACTTTTAATATTGTATTTATTTGCTTTAAGTACTTTTTAGCAATGTGATATTATAATAGATTTTGTGCTTATCCTCTTTCTTTTTTTGTGTAAATAATATATATTGTTCTACCACATACTGAAATGACAGTGCTATTTATGAAATAAAAATATTAATGTAAGAATAACTATTTTGTGCAACTTAGTGTCAGTACTTTCTCTTTTAAAGGCATCACTTACACTTGAAGAGAAGCAAAAGTTAGCTAAAGAACAAGAACAGGCACAGAAACTGAAAAGCCAGCAACCTCTTAAACCACAAACAACTGTAATAACACCTCCAGTGAAGCAGGTGAGAAATAACCAACTACTGCACTGTTTCCATTGGAGCCGTGATGCTTTTTCCTTTCAAGTGCTGTATGCATTTGGCTTTTTTTGCCTCCTCTGGGTCACCTTTGTTTTCACTGGTAGTGCAATGGCACAGCTGAGAAAAACTAATATAAGTTTTAATCTGCCTTCCTTTAGCATCATTGGCAATATTTCCCACTTTTTAAACTGCAGGAGTTTTCAAAGGAATACATATTGTTGGAAGGCCTGTGTTCTAGATAAGGAAAAAGCACATATTAAAAAAGATTTTGCTCTGAAGAGTTTTGTTAACTGAATATATAAAGGGCTTGGACATAGGGATGGGGCATGTAAGCAAATGTCACAGTAGTACTTCATGTATAGACTTAGTTGTCAAATTAAAGATGCATAGCAATTAGTTCTAAGCAGCAAAGAACAAAAATATCTTATTTGGTTTTGTGTATAATTCCATTTCATGCCTGATTCTATGCAGTGAATTCAAATTTCTGATAAATGAATTCCACTTCTGCAGGAGCAATGATAAAGACTGTTGCTAGCGTGTTTGTACAGGAAAAGTATTTAATGACATTTTATGTATTTTGCAGACAAAAGACTTGACTGATACCTTGATAGATAATATGTCATCTTTGACTAGCCATTCTATCAACAAAGCTAAAGTTGCATCTTCAAACAGCTTCTCTTCTGTCCCTTCTGTGGGTGTTGGAATGGGATTTTCATCACCTGTTGACAACACAAAGAGAAACGTAACAAATGGACTAAATACTAATATGGGTTTTCAGACTGCTGGATTCAGTATGGGAGCTGGTCCCACCACTCAGAATTTCTTCAGTGGTCCAAGTGCAATAGCAACAACCAAGATGAACATTGTACCAACTGCCAATGTGCCCAATTACAGTCCTATGAATGCTGCATCTGCAATCTCTCCACTGACGCAACAGAACAGACCCCCAGATATGTCTGCTTTAGATAATCTTTTTGGTCCTCAAAAACCCAAAGTTAGCATGAAACAGTTGGCTCAACAGAAATCAAGCCAATGGGTTAATCAGTTTGTACCCCCACAAGGGTCCCCAGGTGCGAGCAGTTCAGTCTTGGGACCTCAGATGAACATGATAGGACAGTCTGGCTTTGGTATACAGGGTAATCCTTTCTTTGCTCCTCAGAACTTTGCACAACCAGCAAACACAATGACTAACAGCAGCTCAGCTAGTAATGACTTAAAAGATCTTTTTGGGTAAAATGTTTGTTTTCTTCTTTCAAAGATTGATGAAATTTGGATCATGGGTAAGCTGATTAACATCTTTTTTGATTAATAAAAGCATGATTTGGGGAAACTTTCAACACAGCGAAGTAAAGACTTTTGCACTGGGAAAAAGACTTGATTTTTGCATTCACCTGGTACTGCAGTGAAATTGTGTAAGTGCAAAGTCATCTTACATGCTAAAGATTTCCTGTCTCTTTACTGAACATCAGAGCACTGAAGGTAGGATGCATATATTCAATCAAAAAGAAGCAGCTAAGTATTTCAAAATTATTCAGAAGCGTACTCAATCAAGACCTATGAAATCTTCTACAAAATTTTGTTTCTTAAATTCAATAAAAGTGCTTATTGCTGAACACAGTCCTGCAGCCCAGTCCTTTCAGTGTGTACTAAGTTCTTATTGATGATTTGTGTTGCCTGAATTTGGCACAAACTGTCATTCTGCTATATGACAGTTTGCAAAAAGTAAATTTTTATGCTGCCTCAAAAAGTTGTGTTGCATAGAAAGATCTCTAACCAGTGACTGTGTAAGAGGCTAAGAAGAACAAATATTTTATATTTATTCTCTTATAAGATAATTAAAATACATGCGGTAGTAAACAACAAGATTCAGGAGGATCAGAAGTTGTTTTAAAACTTTGTGCAAGTTTGAGACAGAGTAAGAACACTGCTCCAACGGTCATGCTGTTTTGCAACCTGTTTTTTAATGCCAGATCCTTGTTACCAGCCATATAGCAAAAGCAACATACCACTTAAGCAGCATTTTAAAATACATGTGGTGACAAGATCGCATTTGTTAAATATTCCAATGTTTTGGATAATTTGATACTGCTTCTAACGTGTGAAAAAAGAATACGAGTTATGGAACCTCCTGAAAAGAATGTTCTCTGTAAAATTCAGATGTTGACTGCCCCAACTGTGTAACTAAGCAGTTCGGTGTAAGTAAGCAGTTATACAGAAATATCTTTAATGACTTCATAGATTTTGGCTCTGTTCGGAAGATGGAGAAGGATTGCCTTGCACAAGTTGCACATGGTTGTGTGAAAAAGCAGAGTGCCATAAATTGCCTTGACTAGAATAAACTATTTCATTTTAATTTTGTTTTAGCTCAAGTCCTTATGAAGGATAGATGAATATGAAGCGAGTTCTCAAATACAGATTTGTAAGCTCTAGAATATATGGTATTTCAGGTACTTTTTATTTTATTACTCTAAATTTAATAAAGCTTTCCAGAAAACCAAGCAGTAGTTTCTTCTACTTCCCAGAAGGTGTATGTTCAGCTTGCCCATGATAGAGTATCTTCTCTGTCAGATACTACTGTTGAGTTTTAACTTTTTCTTTCCTAGGAATTTCAGGAGCTTTCTTACATAAGAAATATTTTGAAGACTGTAGCTGGCTATTTTGAGAAGGAAAGAACTAGTTACCTTTTTTTATGGAAGCCTACATGCTTTCTTTTTCAAAGCCTTTCACTGAAGAAATTGTTCTTTCATTTGCTGCTTAAGAAACCAAAGGGCCTTATGCTGTAAATGTGACTTGTATTTTGTTATATTTCCACAGTTCTGAGCAGTAATGGCATTAAGCATATTTCTTCAAGAATTGTTTATGTATCATAGCTGCTGCCCTAGTCCTATTGTTTTAAAATATCTGGGACCAGAGAAATTGTGGTTTAGACAACAATACCTAACACATTGTAATGCTTATGTGCTGTTAATATTCATGGTAAACATTGTAGGTTATGTTAAGGTATGTGTGTAAACTTAAGTACAATACCAGAACTGTTAAACTAATTTAAGTTCATTTACAGTTACTAGTTCTCTATACTCTCAGTCACACTAATGTCTTCTTTTATGTCAACTTTTGAAAGTTACATTTTGTTAGGGTAACTTAAGGCAAGCCTTTGAAGAATTACTTGAATCTGTATTCCTCTAAATTATTTGGAAAATAAGTTTATATTAAAAATAACATCTCTTAGGACTCTACAATGTATTAAATTAATATATCTATGGTAAAGGCAGTCTTAAATGTCAGTGTCCTGATCTGAGGTTTCAGTCACTGATTCCCTTGGACTGGGGGCTTTTCAGAACTGGATTTTAATTTATCCTATTGAAGGGAAAATTAACTGAAAAAATTTGATCTGATTTTATATACTTGACCCTCCTAAACTGTGGGGTGTGAGGTATGTGCTTTTGGCATAGGCTATCTGAGAATATAACCTATTTTGTAAGAACAAAGTCAAAAAAATCCTGCAAGTTCAAATCAAGAGAGGCTCCTCTATGCAGTGGTAATGTGATGGAATAAGATCTTTATCTGGCTCAAATAGTATGGTGGGTTTTTTTCTGTTTGAGAATATAATCTTGATTTCTCATGCTTGCTGCAATTTTCAGAAATTTTTCACACCAGAGTAGAAGAATAACAAAAAAACCCTTAAAAGGGTGCTTATGAAAATTATAACAAAATTTTCCAGTTATTTAAAAAAAAAAAAGAAAAAATAACTTCAGCTGAAATACAAAGATCAAATCCCTCTTCCTTGTAGATGCTTCCTGCTTAGTGTGTCAGGAAACTGTGTGTGTGTAAAGTTCTCTAATTATTTTTTCTTAACTTAAAGGAAAGTGGAGTTGCAAGAGGTAAGTCTCCAAGGCCATGTGCCACTTGGCTCCTGCTACAGTAATTTTTCTTTCGGAAGCTTTGTCCAGTTGCTCTCTCCATTTACAGTTCAGCATTCTGAGGGCCTACAAGAGGCTGGAAGACTCATGTTGTGGCCAGAGTGATTACCACTGAAAGCAACAGTTGTGCTTCACATCCAAGTTGTTGTTTGGGAAAGAGGAGGAGGAAGGGATGGTATTACAAAATGTTGTCATTCCAGGGCCTGTTTGTTTCTGGACTTAAATGGAAAGCAGTGTTACATCTAGTTTGGCCTGAAGCAGAGGCACTCCCTAGCCTTAATGTGAAACAAAATGGAGAACACAAGTTTGAAATTGATACCTGATCAAGAAGTTCCAAACTCTGTTACTGAAAAAGTAACCTGATATAAAATAAGTTCTTATTACAATGCCTTGAACACTACTGTAAGTGACACAAAATTTCCGCACTTTTTATTCAACCTAATTTGAAGGAAAAAATGTGGAAGCCTGGCAGATTGTATCATCACCTTACAGCCTCCACCCTGTGCACCCACTGTACTCACCCACTGTGAGCAGCTTCCACTGTGGAAATTAGAGCTGGGTCTAGGCTGAACTGCCCAGCCTACCTGGTTTACTTTCCATTCATTTGTAAAGGAGGGGTAAAGAGGAGAAAGGAGTAAGTTCCTATTCTTTAATTGATTTATATATATTATGTTTACGACAAAAGGAGAAATGAAGAGAAGTGGAAATAGCTGCATGTCTTAATGGCAAGCGTCAGTTGCCCTTTGGCTGCTCTGTTGTACCCTAAATGAATACCCTTGCACCAACACAGCAATCTTATCCATGTGAGAACTGTTGGTTCCATTTGGTTTTAAGTATGAAAGACCCTGAAGCATCCTCTGAAAACTCTATCTTAGAAAACAAACTAATCCTGCTAAATAGAAGGATCGTATTAAAGAGGCTTGAAAAACCTTCTCTGCTGGGGCTGATGGAGTGGGACCTTGAAACTACTGAGTTACAGATTAGCTTAGAAGCCCCCAGCACTGCCTCTCTCAAGAGGAGAGAAATGGGGAGTGAAATGACACAAGTGTCATTTTGAGGATGGAGGAGGGAACAGATTTTCTCTTCCTTCTCATCACACTATTGCTGTGAATAAGGCACAGAATAGCCAGTGAAACCTTCTTATACAGGAGGACAGCAGTACCAGAGGAGTCTTTGGAAAGGCAAAGGAGTCCACCAACTATCTGGGAGACAGGGAGAGAAATTTTGCTGGGAAAATAAGTAGGATACCCTAGTTTGTTTTAATGAAGATACTATGTCTTACCCTCTCAATGGTGATGTGAATTGGAAACATCTTGGGGAAGTTGTGGCCTTACAGGTCTGCACAGATGTTGAGTACCCAAAGTAAAAGGCTGAATTTTCGGATGGATAGGTGTACGACATTTCAAGCCTTATTATTTAAAACTTTTCTGTTAAGTTTTGTGTTTTTAGCAACACCTGTTTCACATTTATGTGGAACTTTTAACAAATACCCCAATGGCCTTTTAAAGTAAGAAAAATATGTGTTAACTTTTATATTATAACCGCTGTTATAATGTAATCTATGTCTGTAGATAGGTAAGTAAGTGTGTATATAGATTAAAGGATTTTAGATTCTTCAGTTCAATTGCACCAAAAAAGCAAAGATTAAGTGAGATTTGAATCAAATTCCACAAGGCTTCCATACAGGCTGACAATTATATGATACTTTTGTTATCTATTATAAATTCACATGCTTGATCTGCCTACATCTATGTCACTTGAGCAGAAAAGGAGAGTTTTTAAAACGTAAGTATATGAACACTGGATCTCAATAGAGATGATGGTTTTGGACTTTAGATTGACCTTTGTTTATTGATAAAGAGTTTTTTATTGGGAGTGGGTGGGATATTGCTGATTTGTGCCATTTCCAATGAAAGAATTATAGGGAGGGTGAGTACAGGAAAAATACCCTGTTGTATATGTGACCCTTTTTCATTGTTTGTTAAGAGATATGCTGCATTTTATATACTCATTGTGAACTTTTACTCTGAAATAGCTGTGAGGAAACCTATCTGGAGAACTTCAGATGAGTTAACTCATACTCAAGTGAGGTCCTGCCTTGTACTTAACTTTCCATTAGGTTTTGACTGCTTTACAAGGAAATTACACAAGGCAGTAAAACCTTGGATTCATACACCAAATCTTTTGCCTTCCAGGCCTCACGCTTGTATCAACAGAACAAATAAGCCCCTGAAGCTGTCTTGTCTTTAAATTCTCTGAAACAGTTCTAACTGCTGTACAGATTTCTGAGATGAAGTTGTAAATCAAAATGTGTTATAGTGAACTCAGGCCTTGTGCAAAATATTTAATACTTGTTTATTTGTCTAACCGTACAGTCTCTGTACTAGTGTCAGTTTTATGTTTTGACTGTAAAACATGAACATTCTCATGAGATTTATAACGCGATGTTACTGTAGTGTCAGCTGTGATTCATAATTAGAATTGTCATAGCATGGCATTAGTGCGTATCTGGTTTATTAGATGGCTCTTCAAAAGCAATTTTATTCTTGTATCAACTTTTAGATCAGCTACTTTAAAAATATGTAAAAGTACAGTGACAGTTTCAAGAAATTCATATCACTTTGTACTGTGAATGAGGTTGCCTATGGAAATAAATGAACCT